CGTGCACTCTCTCTCTCTCCAAAAAAAAAAGAAGTAGATAACGGGGGACAAATACATGAGGTCCCCAAAGAAGGCTAAATACCAGGCAGCAGGTGTCAGCAAATGGTAAGAGTCAGTTGTATTAAAACTTGTAAGCCCATTTGACCAAGGTCCCTCTGGCTGTTAAACGTACCTGCTCTTGGTTGAGCTGACAACAGACATGGGATGGTTGATGTCATCCTTTACCACCATAATGTTATTCTGGAGACAGAGCACAGAAAGCAGGTTGCCCTCCCCTCACACTTAAACTCCTCGGGTGCCCTCACTCTTCCCTACCACCGCTGCCCCCTACCACCTCCCCCCACCACCCCACAGGCCCCTCAGAGAAGGAACATGCCACAGAGCTAGAGCAGCAAAGAGATGGAGGACTCACTTTGTATTTGCGGAGTATTGAGGAGTGATTCATAATTCGGTCTGTGTCAGCTGCGTCCCGGGGCACCACCACAATCCCAAAGTCCCCGACGATCACCTCCATCTGAAAAAACAAAGAGAGCGTCGTTTGGTGTATCCATGACTCCAACCCCTACTAAGCAACTACTTAGCAGGTGGAATGATCTTCCATGTGGAACCCCAAGCTCTGGTCCTAAGCTTGCCTTCTCAACCCTACCAGTCAGGTCTTTCAAGTAACAACCTGTAACAGTGTTATTGGAATGAGTGGGAACTTTGCCTGGCACCACAGAAGATGCTTAATAAATACCTCTAGACTGAATGAATAAATGTGCTCCTGCATGTCTAGGCATCTCCAATTCCTGAGGCTCCCATTGAGTTCATTATGCCGAAGAGTAATAGGAATGACACGTAGTCCTTACATGGTAGACACCCTCACAGGCGACACAGGTCCCGTTGCCCAGCAAGTGTACCCCCGCTCCCAGCCGGACTATTGAGAAGGGCTGAATGCTCCCTGGCTCACCCATGTCAAAGCTGCTGGGGACTCATGGGTGATGAAGAGCATGGAAGGGCTTAGAACGCCTGTGTGCCCACAGGCAGTGATAGAAAGAATATCACTATGGGGTCACTTCTGAGATCAGCCTCTGATAAATGCTTGCTGCCCTAATGAGAAATGAAACCTTTTCATGAAGAAAAAATTATTTTTTCTGGTTATACACACAGTACAAGCTTGGGAAATTCAGGGGAAAAAAAATCAATCACAACCGCACAATCTGGATAACTACTCTTAATATAGTGTGTTCTGTCCAGTGTTTCCTTCTTTATAAATAAGTGTATATACCTACAACTGGATTACACTGAAAAATTAATCATTTTATCTGTATTTTTTATTTAGTATTATATTGTGAGCATTTTTCACATTGTTAAAGATTACTTGAAAAAATTAAGTTTTAACAGTCTGATTATTTCATTGTACTATGATATACATGATATATTAAACCAACCTTGTATTCTAGAATGTGTACAGTTACTTCTGATTTTTTGCAAGTATACATAACACTTTGTTGAAGATCTTTATATATAAATCTTTTGCCACATCTCTATTTCCTTAGGATAAGAAGTAAAATGATTAGATGAAAGGATATACACTGAACAGATTTCAAAATCTTAAGACCTATTACCAAGTTGCTTTCTGGAAACTCGGGCCAATTTTTATTTTCAAAAAGCTTGAAAGTTATGGCATTTAATAGACTTGGATCTCGCCCGGGCATATTACTGTTTCGATCTTGCCAATTAAGGATCCCAGATGCGGAGAAAAGGGAGGGGGAGACAGGTTGCTTCTAAGCAGGGCAGCTCATTGTGCAAGACCCGCTCTGGTGGCAAGGGACCCAGGTTTTTCCTCCTAATAAGTGCCACAGAAACAGACATTAGGGAGCACTGTGGCCACCTCTTCTCTATCAGACAACTTCGATACGAGCAGAATTCCACTTCGCAGTCTGATTCATTGATTATGTTGGCGTACGTATGTGTGCGCCCAAGCATGTGTGCACATGCCCTTGGGTATTTCCAGCCACCTTTCCCCTACTTCTCCCATTGCTTACAACTGCGGCTAGAGTTGCAGCTGGAACTCTGATGTTGCTGACACAGAAAGCTGGCTGAAGGTGCCCTGGGAGGGAAGCTGTGGAGAGAAGTTAGAAGCCAGGTATAGAATATCAGAGTCCCCATTGGATCATGCCATTTGGAAGAAACAGAGCATTATACCGCATGCTGCATCTGTCGGTAGTGCTCAGGTGGGGCAAACAGGCACCAAGCATTTGTCCTATAAACCAGGAATGTTAGGGAGAGGCAGGGCAAGGAGTGGGAGGTAAAGCCACTCCTCCTCCACAGCTTTAGAATATTGCACTGGGATTCACTACTCAGAAGGTAACCCGAGGCACTGGTTCTCAAACTTGGCTGCACATGAGAATCACCTGAGGAGCTTTTAACACTCTCAAAGCCCAACTCGTACCTAAGAGCAGTGAAAGTCAGAATCTCGGAGAATGGAACCCAGGCATCAATAGTTTGTCTAAATTTCCCAGGTGATTCCAATATGCAACCAGCTTGAGGACCAGGGGTCTAAGTACTGCTTAAAACTCCGGGGGAAGTGGTGGGGTGGAGAAAGAGAAAAGAGAAGGGGGAGGAGAGGAGAGGACGGGAGGGGGAAGAGGGGAGGGAATCTATCCAAGCTGGTACATACGAACATTCCTCAACTGCCTCTCTTGGTAGATGACTCAAGATACCTGGTGTACATGGCGTAATGTAGGATCTGCCTTCAATTTGATTCTGAGGACTTGGTAGATGTTCCATAAGCGATGAATGAACTAAGAGGGCTATTTAAAGTGAGCATTCTCACTGAAAGCCTGAAAACAACGGTTCCGCCTGGAGTCCGGCCTCGCGGGGGATGTCACCCTACGGTGACACCCTATGGATGACATTAGTACAGCTGCTGCTTCCCACTCAGGAGCTAATGATCTGAGCACTCAATCAGTAACAGTGCCAGGTGGCTCAGTGGGTGGCAAGCAGATGGAGACCTTGCTGCCTGGGATGTTTTTTTTCCAGAAACAGGTGACAGACTTGCCCCCTGGGAATCGCAGACGGAGCGAGGGAGACAGGGTCTACAGGACAAGACATACAGCTTAACCACATCCAAAGCTGCACATCTGTGGGAGTTCGGGTCAGAGACTGCAGATCTTTTCTGCTCCTTTGCCTAGACCCTAGGACACCGGGCTTGATTTTCATGCTAGAGGGTATCTGTGTGGGTGTGCGTCTGGGGGTGGGGAGAGATGCCATGTTCTAGAGTTGGTAAGGTGTGCCCTCCATCCCATATGCATCCATCTCGTGCAGGGACTTAGCTGTCCTTCCCACCCCCAAACCCCGTTTCCTGTCTTCGCCTGCCCCCCAGGAGACCACCCCTCTTGGTTTCCTCCTACCTCAGCAGCTGCAATTTTTGGTCTTCTTGTGCTGGTTCTTTCTCATGTCCCTAACCCTGACCCATTGGAGTCCCCCGGGCCTCAATCCTTGGACCTCTTCTTTTTTCTAGCTACACTCATACTCTTAATGATTTCACTCAATTTCAAAGCATTAGAGACAGACCGAAGGCTCCCAAATTAATACCTGGGGCATAACTTCTCTCCTGAACTTCAAACTCATATATCCAGCAGCCTTTTCAGTATGCCTATTTAGTGGGGCACCCCAAATCTAAAATGTCCATGGGCACCCAAACCCTCTGACATCAATCAATGAGTAAATCAGCTAGTCCTCATACCCCGCAAATGCTTTTCCTATAGTCTTCCTGTAGTCTTTTTCATTTCAGGAAATGGAAACTCTCTTCTCACAATTACTCAGGTCAAAGCCTGGGAATTTTCCTGGACTCCTCCCTTTCTCTCACATCCCACATTCTACCTAAAAGGTACCCAATTGATTCCAGCTTCAAAACAAATCCAAGAATCTGCTCGTTTTTCACCATTTCCATCAAGTCTCTGCTGGTCCAAGCCTCCTTTGGTAGGTTAAATAATGGCCCCCAAAGATAACCAGGTCCTAATCTGTGGGACCTGTGAATGTTACCTTATATGGCAACACATATGCAGATGTGATTAAGCAAAGGATCTTGAAATTATCCTACATAATCTAGGTGAGCCCTAAGGTAATAACAAGTGTCCTTACAAGAGGGAGGCAGAGGGAGATTTAACACAGAAGAGAGAAGATAATGTAAAGACAGAGCAGAGACAGATTTGAAGATGCTCCACTGTTGGCCTTGAAGATGGAAAGAAGGGTCATAAGCCAAGGAAGGCAAGCGATGCAGCTCTAGAAGCTGGAGAAGGTGAGGACACAGATTCTCCCCTGGAGCCTCTGGAGGGAACGTGGCCTTGCCAACAACTTGGTCTTGGCCCAGTGAAACCTATTTTGGACCTCTGGCTTCCAGAAGTGTAAGAGAATAAATGTGTTTGTGTGTGTTGTTGTTTTAAGATTTTATTTATTTATCTATTTGAGAGAGAGACAGAGAGCGAGCGAGCAGGGGGAGGGGCAAAGGGGGAGGGAAAGGCAGAGGGAGAGAGAATCTTGAGCAGACTCCGTGCTGAGCACGGAGCCCTATGTAGGGCTTGATCTTATGTCCCTGAGATCGTGACCTAAGCTGAAACCAAGAGTCAGAACCTTAACCAACTGAGCCATCCAGGCGCCCCTGTGTGTGGCCTTAAGCCACCAATCTTCAGCAACAGAAAATTAATTCATCCCCATCACCTCTCACTTGGATTACTCTGGTCTCCGTGTTTTTCTCTTGCCTTTTTTCAGTCTATTCCCAACAGCCAGACCGAGTGTATTAAAATAGATTGTGCTGCTCCTTGGCTCAAAAGTCTTCACTTAAATGTCACCTTCTCAGTGAGACCAGGCTATATTTCAACTTGTGTGGCCATGCACGCAGACCCACAGGCTATCCACACCTGCACCGTCCCTGCCCCTTCTTGGGTTTGCTGCTCCTCCTTAGCCTTTATGTCCATCTAATACCTTATATATTTTCTTTGTTCCACCTGATTTTTGTCTCTTTCTCTCTCTTCTATAAAGGTAACCTCCATGAGGACAGGGAACTTTGTGTGTTTGGTTTACCACTGTGTCCCCAGAGGAGAAGGACCTGGCGCCTCATACATGCTTAATAGGTGCTGTTGAAAAAGTAGATTCCTGCAGAGTCTTGTCTGGCAGCTGAGGCCGAGCCATTAGCTCATAAACTCTGTCTCAGGACCTGGCGACGAGCCCACAGTACCTCATGGGAGCTCTGGGAGGCCCAAAGAAGTTACTCAAAAGATAGACTCTCAGGTCCTATGATAAGCTAAGGGTGAGCTTACTTTTGCAGGTTCCCACATTTGATCTGATTGGTGGGCAGAAGCACCTGGGGCAGCTTTAAAACCAATGACAAAAGTAGAGCCCCCAGACCTCACCCCAGGGATTTTGATCCAACATGTCTAGGATGGGCTGGAGCCTCTCTCTTCACAAAGCTCCCTAATCCTTCTGATGTGCACCAACCCCTGGGGAATTGATGCTTCAAATCACATTGGC